CAATCCAGCGCACTGGAACATAGTGACCGTAAATAATTTATAATATCACATCATATGATTATTCTTACTTACCAAAATACCTTGTATGTCATCCTAATAAAATAAGAATCACTCGGTAAATCAAATAAATAAGAAACAAAAATATATGCCTATTTTATATTATCTTATAGCTTAAGAGAACGCATCAATCACTTAAGGTCTAGGTTACAACAACGGTAAGTGAGTCTCATATCCATATCCTTCCGTGGTCCTGTTCAACACTTAACATAAGTGTTAGTGTAATCTTTCAGTCGAAGACCAACTGAATCAAGAATACACTACAGTCTTTTTCCAAGAGGGGTCTCACTGCCTGTCTAGACTGTGAACGAATAGTTGAGGGGTCTCACTGCCTGTCTAGACTGTGAACGAATAGTTTAGTCTTATAAGGAACCGATAGGTGATCTTTCTGTTCGAAACTCTTCGAACCACACTATCTCAATATAAGACATGGAGTATGATTTGCATAAATAAATAAACTGCAAACATATGTACTTTGACCAACACATGATGGCCAAATCAAAATGGAATTGATAGAATCTGCAAAACATAGCTTTTACAGTATACCTCTAACAATCTCCCACTTATTGTTTATAAGCTCATGGCTAAACAAAATAACCAGAATTTCTTTCAATCTAATTCTCAAAGACTAGTGTACTATGCCGCCCTAACATCTGACTCCCATTCCTTATACGTGTCTTGTAAAGACTTTCGCCGGTAGGCTCTTCGTAAAAGGATCTGCTAGGTTTTCCTCTGATTGTATCTTGGCAACAACGACTTCTCCTCGTCCAACGATTTCTCGTATCAGGTGGTACTTTTGCTCTATGTGTTTACTCGCTTGATGAGTCCGTGGCTCCTTCGAATTTGCTACTGCTCTGCTGTTATCACAGAACACTGTGATTGCAGCGGGCAAACTCGGTACCACATCAAGGTCGAGGAGAAAATTCCTGAGCCAGACAGCTTCTTTCGCTGCCTCTGAGGCTGCTACATACTCAGCCTCCATGGTTGAGTCCGCCACGCATTTCTGCTTGACACTTCTCCATACTATGGCTCCTCCTCCTAAAGTAAACACAAACCCTGAGGTTGACTTACATTCGTCCGGATCTGCCTGGAAGTCAGAATCGGTGTAACACAACGGAAGCAATTCATCTGCCTGGTAAATCAACATGTACTCCTTAGTCCTACGCAGGTACTTGAGTATATGTTTTACCGCATACCAATATTCCGGTCCTGGATTACTCTGATATCTTGCTACCATGCCCACGACATAACAAATATCAGGTCGCGTGCACAACATAGCATACATGAGGCTTCCTACTGCCGATGCATAAGGAACTGCCTCCATGTCCTCTACCTCTTGAGGCGTATTTGGGGACATCCTCTTAAATAGAGATATTCCGTGCCGCAAGGGTAAATCCCCTTTCTTGGAATCCTGCATATTGAAACGCTTTAGGACAGTGTCTATGTATGTGGATTGGGATAGGCACAACTTTCT